GACTCACCGAGCTCCAGGCCTGGTCTGGAAGCACGGAGTCCTAGACCCACACTTGGCCTCAGCAATTCGGAGCTTGCAAGGGAATTGAGGGTGCACGGCAGGTCGGCCCCAGGCGGACCAGGTTTCAAGTACCCGACAAGAGGAGTGAGAGGAGTAGTGATGGTTCGGAAATTTGGGGGACTCTTTTCTTCATTTCGTTTTGCAATCTGGTTTCTCTTTCGTTGCTGCAGAAGAAAATTAATTTTTAAAAAAATCTGTCAAGCTTAAGGAAGACAACTCATTTGATTGGGTAATTTTAATTTCCTACCACCTCATTCTGTCTTTAAAATAAACAACCACCTCTGCCCTAAAAGACCTCTGCCTTGGAAGGCCTGGAAGTGCTCTCTCGGATGTTTCCCTTAAACATGGTTTAACTTTCCGGGAGCGGAGGTAGAAGACACATTAGTGGCCCCCAAGTTACCCAGCATGATCTACTTGTTCCCGCAACGGTCACTGAATCAACAACCAAGCTCCGGAATTGCCCAGTTCAAATCCCCACAGGCACTGTGATTTATTTTCGGATAAGGGATGGATCCTACTCATTAAAAAAAAAAAAAAATTCTTTGAGAGTGGGAAGAGGCTCGTGTATAAGATGGCCGCATAAACCTTTTTCTTCTTGATAGCATCAACTTTGTTTACTATTCTTTGCTTGTTTAAAATATTGGTTTGTCTAATACCGGCTACCACTACATTCGTACAGAGAAAGCTGCCTTCTCCCACCCCACCAAGAAAACAACCAAACAAAACACAAGGTACATCGTAGACTCAGGACCAGTTATCAGCTCGGTTGGAAGGGAACGATGGAAGTCTTGGACGATGTGTGTTAGCGGCTCCTGAGTCCTGCATTAAGCTCTGCTCTTTGAGGTGTGGATGAAAGTTAACAGGCCGGTTGCCGTGCCTGAACCCTGGACTGCACAGAGGCCACAGTCGTTTGCTGGAGGTTCCAGGGCCCGACCCTACAACCAGCCAAGGAGGAGAGCGCGTCTGGCCTTCTGGGCTTGTGTGAATTCTAGCCATACCGCTGCGAGTTCAAGCAGCAAGCTCTCGGCCTGGAAGAGGGATTTGGAAAGAAAACTTTGAACGAGGAATGTAAATATAGTTGCGTGCCTTTTCCGCCCCCCAAGTCCTTAGCCACCCGGGTTGGAGAATTGGTGTTTGTTGGTGACTGACCTGCTGGGGCTCGGGGAGAAAGTCCTTGCACACGAATGCTACCGAGAGAGACTATCCCTAATGCTGAATCGGACAGATACCCCTATCTCTTGCCCTTTCCTAATCTCGCCCTTTCCCTCCTGCGCCAGGAAAACAAGTTCCTAACACTACAACGGGAAGGAATTTCGTAAACTGTGGGGACCGGAGACAGAGGTCACCCGTGGATCGTAGGGCCTCAAAAGTGGCTGCCTACCGGAGGGAGTCATGTCTCATGAACTGTGAAGGACACGAACCTGGGAACGTGCACTGTTTCGCTCTGAATCTGTGTCTCTCAGAAACACAAGGACCATGGACTTTTCTAAAAGCTGATTTTCTCCTAAATGGTCAGTGAAACGGATGCGGAAAATGAGAGTAACTAGTTTCTCTAAGGAAGGAAAGCAGGGGAGCTCTGCACCAGGTTTTGGGGGGACATTCTCATTCTCAAGGCAATCCCCTCTCCTTCCTGGGTCACCTAGCCACCCTATCCCAGTGCCACTCACACATTCTGGTATTATTTGGTACTGGGCCCGTTTCACTCCAGTGCACATCGAGGGCTGAGATCTAAATACTCATTTGATATAGCGCGGTAATCCTTTTCTCATATTTGATGGGAATGTTTTCCATATCCCAGTATTTGACAACATCTCCCTATAGGGACAGGTTTGTATTTATGTTGGTAAAATGTCCCCTGCCTCAAAGTCTATTGTAACCCAACACCTGACAACCCCGAGTCCCATTTCTGTTTGCAGAAAGGGTTTATTCAAGCACATAATGGGATCCCAGCAAAAAGCCTTTCAGAACAAGGGGCTATGGTAAACTTCACCACATGAACTCCGTTTCCAGGGCTATTAAGCTTTTAATTGGAAAATAGCAGAGGAAATTTCAAGGTGACTATAACGTGTTAGCAGTTAGTTCAGAGAAAAAAGCCCATGCGGGAATGAATGTGGAAAGCATATGGTCCGAATCACATTTAGGAGGAGCGGCCTGCTTCTACTAAGACCCTGCAGCTTATGCACTTATGGGAAAAATCATCAAAGAAATTGGACGGCGAGGGGAGGATTACAAGCGAAAGTAACCTCACTAGACTACACCCACTCCCGGCTCCTCTGGGTGGTGTACTAGTGTTTTCAAACCACAATTAACTGTGTAAGCTATGGCAGATATTAATACTTAAGTGGGTGAAAAACACGACGACGATGCGCTTACTCCTTCTAGCGTACACTCAGTGACTCGGTGAGTGACTATCTGAAGCTCCGAAGGTCACTGTTGAAGGCCGGTGCTCTTGCTGAGAAAGTGCTGGTGTCTGATTCCAAGTCTGGGGGTCCTGATAGGTGTTGTCCACACCCCGCCCAGCAACATTAATCAAAGGACAGTTGCGTACTGTGCTGGTTGTGAGACACACGGAGACATCTGTTCTGTATTCTCACGCTGGGGAAAGCCGGAGTTCCTATTTTGTTGGCGATGTTACTTTGGTGTTGACAGATGCGGGTGGGGGGTGGGGACTTGTAAAAACCCCTGTACAGACAGAAAAAAAAAAAAAAAAAGTCACCCCTCTGCCTACGCAGGAACCTAGCAGGAGCTGTTCCGCCCTTGCTAGGTCAGTGTCTCTTGGCATCTCTCTTTAGCCAGCTTTAAGTTAAAGGAAATGGGGGTGATTGGGGTTTTAAGGAGGAGGTAATGCACTTGGTTAGCCCCCAACTGGTTGGGAAGAGCCTCAAGACTTATGGTATCCCCAAGACTCTCTGGCGACCTGACCGGTTAAGGACTACTGACTCGCATGCATCCAGTAGGCCTGAGGGATGCCTTGAGCAGTGGAGAAAGGTTCTCCACCGTCTCAGTGGGGGAAATAGCGATGAAGGAGCTGGCTGCCTTTGGATTAAAAGACGCGCTCAGTACCAGGATAGAGGGGGCTGGCTGTGTGCAAGTGCTGCCCAGTCCTTCAGGTTCTAGAACTTTCCAGCGGCTCTAGCTTGGGGACACACTCCTCACACTCAGCCTGGACCAGACTGCCTGGCTCCGGCTTTTGGGGAGAGTAGAGTGTATCTCTCCTGTGTTACCTCACTCCAAGATTTCTAAGGGTCTTCTAAAGACCGGCCACACCCTCGCTGAGCCGCCCCCCTCTTGCGGAGACAGTCCTGGGCAGGGGAGAGGGGGCAAGTCCTCAAACTGTTTCGGAAGGGAGACAACCCCCTTTTGCTTAAGTGTGTGTCTAGGGGGCGAGAGGGATCTGCTGCTAGGCTGCTAGGTAAAATGATCGACGTCGACTTTTTAACAGCTCAAATACACAGCCTTTCTGTGCAGTTTTAAAAACCAAAGATTGAAAAAAAAAAAAAGAAAAAGAAAGAAACGAGCTAGGTAATTTGAGTAACGTTCAGGGAACAAAGTAAACGTTTCCCTTCCCGGGGTCATTAGCTCGGAGCGCTAGGTGGACTTCTCCGTGACTTTTTTTTTTTCCAGAAAACTCTCACCCTTCCCCCTCCCCACTCTTGCCTTCTAGCAGAGAACACAGCTGCGAGGAAAGCCTAGGT